GGCACAGACCCAGCACTGATGGAGACAAACCATAGATCAGCCCTTGCTAACCAATCTCTTTCTTCTTGTCCAAAGGAGATCTCATTCCTAGACACCAGCAAGTATTTAGTACGAATCAGTACTTCAGCGGGGTGAAAATTCCAGACCCTGAGGATATGGTGAGTGACCCATTTTGGAAAGAGCTCTGAATATGGAGGCTAAGGTTACCAGGGTGTTTAGGTGGTAATCATTCTCTTTATATGGGGAGTTGCAGACTAACGAGGTTTTGGTAGTTACTCGCCTGCCTTAGTGCCGTGGCCCACACTGCACTGGAAAGTCCATTTAAGGGGCGCCTGGGTGGCGCAGTCGGTTAAGCGTCCGACTTCAGCCAGGTCACGATCTCGCGGTCCGTGAGTTCAAGCCCCGCGTCGGGCTCTGGGCTGATGGCTCAGAGCCTGGAGCCTGTTTCCGATTCTGTGTCTCCCTCTCTCTCTCTCTGCCCCTCCCCTGTTCATGCTCTGTCTCTCTCTGTCCCAAAAATAAATAAACGTTGAAAAAAAAAAGAAAGTCCATTTAAGAGTGAAAAAGAAAATTGGGGCAAATTGGCTAGCAAGACCCTGGCCTTCAATACCAATTTAGAAGTTGCTGATAGCAGAGGTTAGCCAGCATGTTGGACAGAAATGCAGAATTGCCTGCCTTCTCCTGTCCTGCCTTGTTTTCAACAGCTGAAGCTAGGTACCTCACACAGTGACTTATCCAGGAGGAAAATCCAGCATTGCCCAAGTCCCCTACTCTACTATACTCTTACTGCCCAGACCATGGTGGGAAACCGTAATGAACTTGCTTGGCAAGCCTCATTCTGGTATCTCTCCTTTACAGCCAATGTGGAGAAAATACTCATTTTTTAAAATTTAAAAATTTTAAATGTGCATACTCTTAACACACTTTCAAGAATTTATTGCAGTGAAACCATCAGACAGAGGCATCAATATGTGACATTAGAAATTATTTCCTTTAGTGTTCCATCCATAGGGGATTCATCATGTAAGTTATGATATATCTCTACAATAGAAATGCCACATAGCCAGTAAAAATAATTAGATTTATTATTCACCTGAATAAAAAGTGCACAATGTATTGTTAAATGAAAAAGGCTACAAATAGTACTAATAATTTGACATAATTTTAATAAATGTTTAATAAATGCACAATTTATGTATGTATGTACACACACATTTACATATATAAATAAAATGTGACCGCTTCTGGAAAATCACGCAAAGTTTTTTTACATTTGTGAAATAAATGGCTGCAAGGTTATATACCAAAATATTAACAGTGGGTATCTCTTTGCGGTGGCATGATTTCTTTCTTTCTTTATGGTTTTTTAAAAAAATACTTTTGGGTTCTTCCAATGAGCCTGTATTATAATCAAAAACATCTCAGAGCACAATTAACGTTTGTGAAATCCTGAGTTTCTACCGTCTAAGGAAGGTACTTTCAAACTGAAACTAAGCCTCTAATTGCTCAGTTTCCAGATGGAAGTTCTGTCAAGCTCCATTTGAGCTCTGTGTTCACTCATCCTCCTGGCCTGTCCCACGGTGAAGGCTTTCACCTTCCCCTGCTGCCTCCTTCTCCGGCACCACTACAAATAGGAAAAGTGGGTCATGCTGGGAGCATGCTGGGACCGAGAGGCAGGAATGACACCTGGCATATGGGAGGTGACCCAGCTGGCTCCCTTGTGACCTGGACATTCCCAGTTCCACACTAAATATCCCTTAGTGATTTCCTCTTCGCTTGTCTTACAGTGAAGACTCATGAGCAACCCGGGGTTTCATAAATGCAAAAGGCTTCCCAGGGTCTCCCAGAGGTTGTCCTGCAGGGGATTTCCTGTTGACAGAAACACAGGAAGAAGTAATGCGGGGGCTGCACTGGTTGAACATCTGTGCCCGAGTCCCTCTGCCGGTCAGTCATCCTGCTGGAGGGAGGCCTGCTTGCCTCTGGCACTGGGAAACCAGCTAAGCAGGCAGAATGGGCTCTCCTATCACAGCCAACCAGCGGGCCTCGTCCCAGGCCAGGCGTTGTTGCTGAGACAGCAGAGCTCAGTGTCAGCAATGTCATGTCAATCCCTAGCAGTGCCCAGATTTAACACACACAAAAGGCAAGAGAAATATTTAAGATATAGTTGGGGGTGGGGGAGGCTACTCTCAAGGTTCTAATACAAATCTGCTGTAGGATTTTTTTTCCCTGGTGATCTTAGGGAACTCCAAAACTGAGGCTCTTATCTCTTACCCTTACGGTGATTAGTAAGTGCACACTCGGAATTTGAGTGTTGGGGGCTGATTCCCTGTGCAAAAATAACATCGTGCTGTGCTCTTAAGCTTGACCACAGCACTTAAGAGTGGTATTGCATTAGATGAGCCTGGCCAGTCCCTCCAGCGCACATCTGCCATCTCTTTATACATGCGATGCACTCCATCCAGCTGCCCTCCTTAATTAGCCTCTGTTAGTGGTGTATCTCTTTAACTGGCCTGTCTGGCCCCCTGACATTCAGCATTCCTCTTGCTTTATAGTGCTTGTTATTCCTGATTGCCTCCAGCATGTGACTGGAGCAAAATAGCCTTATATGGCCAGAGGGAGATTGATGAATGTCTGCCCCAGAGACTCTTTAAACAGCAGGATGATCAGGGAAACAGCAGGCTCTTGTGGGAGGAGAAACCAGTGTTTATTCCAGAAAACCAAGAAGCATCTGTTCACCTAGGTAGGGAGGAAAAATCTATTTTGAAGCTTCCTTTATGTAAATGTCAATAGATGCAAAAATTAGGGCCTCTTTTAAATGCCAATGTAAGTGCCAAAAATTACTCTAAGGAAAGGCAAGTTATAGAAATTGAGGCAGAAAAAAAAAAAAAAGAAATAACAGTTGCTTCACAAGTGCATTTCTTTCTTTCCATGAATGCTCCCTCATAATTTGCTACCTGCACCATTTCTTTGGGAAGTGAAGGGAGTGGTGAGGAGGAAAATTTGGAAAAGAAATTTGGAGGCAGAGAGAAAAGGAGCTTGTGAAACAGGCCTTGTTTCAGCTGGGGAGGTGGGTGGGGGAGGCAAGAAAGGTGCCAGGAAGATGCTTCTGTTACTCAGAAGACATTCAACCTGAGGTCACCTTAGCTTTGAATACATACTGTAAATAAAACCCCCTTTTCTTCTTTTTTTTTTTTTTTTTTAAAAACAGGAACCACTTGAATTAAAATTTCCAAACATCTCTTCTCCGGCCCTGGGGCTCTTAAAGGTAAAATCATAGCTTCTAACAGACCGGAAGCACACAGTAGCTGGTGTCACTGGGGAGTCTAAATGATTTATATCAATCCATGAATTGAAAAGTGTTCCTTTTAGAATTCTCCTTCTCCTTTGGGAAGTGTAAATACGTTGAGTTTTTATTTACATTGTTACAATGAAAACATCTGTAGGTGTTTGTCACTTTAAACTAAACCCAACATACTGTATTTAAAATCTAAGTTACAGAAATTTCAGATGGATAGTACTTGTTTTATGCAGGGATCCTTTTCTTCAAAAAATGTTGGGCCATAGGATTCATTTAAATAGTCAACTCCCTAGTATATCAGAAGTAGGTTTTGATTTTAAAACTTGATTTATATATACATTTTCAGAGATCTATAGCTCTTATGTAAAATCGAGTACCAACTAAAACATTTTCAAGTTATAGTCCATGCCCTACCCATTTCGAAGTATTTAATGCATTTACTGATGCATTTGTAATATAACCAAAAAAAAAACAAACAAAAACCCAACAACAACAACAACACGGAGACAGTTCCTTGGGGTATATAATTGTGAGATTTCATCTATTCAAGTATGAACCCTATGGCCTACTTAATGGCAAAGCAAATAGTTCAGAATGATGCAATCTAAGGGCATGTATACTATGCTTCTCCTTCCATACATGCATATATATACTGTAATGCATGGACTATTTCTGGAAGAATATACCAGAAAAAAAGGAACAGCTGAATCTGGAAGGGGGAATGGAAGAACTAGAGTGGTGAGGAGACTTTGCTGTGTTCTGTATACATTTTATTTTTACCATGTGTGGGTATGAATTTTTTTAATAAAAACCCAAATTTTTACGAAGTATACACAAAGGACCAAACTGGTTATGTGGATTATTCCCGTTGGATACTGAGGCAAACTCAAAAATCCTATCTTACTCCCTCAGGGCAGAGCACCAACTGCCTCCAGAACAGGGCAAGGTGGAGAAAATGATTTTTTTGTTACTATTCCTAGAACCTATCTATTTACTTATTATGTGGTTACCCATTTAGGAATAATTGTGGAAGGAACCAAAAGCATGTTTGGTGTGTTTCTCCTGCTTTTCCTCCTTCCTGTTCCCAAATGAAGGGTTTGATCTGTCAAAGAAAAAAAAAAACTGATTTCAGTAAGTTAATACAATTTTAAAGAAGAATGGAGACTTGTCTGTTCTTTTAGGGCTGTCTCCACATGAATCCTGCTGAGAGAATGACATGTGAACAGCTGTTGCAGCACCCGTATTTTGACAGCATCAGAGAAACAGGGGATTCAGCAAAAGAGCGTGACAGACCAATAAGGAAGACGCTGAGACAGAGCCGAAAGCACCTGCCTGGGGTAAGAATGGGGCACTGCTTTACACAAGAGTCCTGGGGTTGTAGTTTCCAATGACCTCATGCCTGCCACCTGGTGCAGGGAGTCTGTATCTATTCTCGGGGCGGTAACAGCGGCTTGCAGCTCCAGCACCTTCCTTGCAGAGCACGGTGACGGGCATATGATCTGTCACCCAGGGCACTGAGACATCTGCCTCCAAGAACCCCCTTCTTCCTGAACCCTGAAGGCGTCCTTGCCCTGCAGTTCCCTGCTGCCACAGAGGGGTTTTGTTGTGCACGAGCATGGGTCTCAGGTACACGAGCCGGAGCCCCGCTGAGCGTGCTTTTTTTTGTGCTTTGGAGAATGAAATCAGATTTATCCCAGGCAGCTCTGTGTCATCATGTTTACTTTCAGTATTGATTGACGTTCCAGGTTTATCCAAAAATGGACCTGTTTTCCCCTCTGTTCCTTTAATCATCAGAGTTGGCTCCGGTAGATACAGTGCCGAGTGCTCTCAGTGATATCAGAACAGCTTATTTAACCAGAGAACAGCATCCAAGCTGCACACAGGGAGCCTGTGAAGAAAAAGACTGGTATAAAGTGGCAAAATAGCCTCGCCTTAAGTGTAAGCCTGTTACAAGCCAAAAGCTGTAGTAACTTAGAATGGACTGTGGTTAGAACCACAACTAAGATGAGCTGGCTACTCCTGGTCATTTCTGGATCTGCCTAGGTAGCCCTTAATCTATAAATTATTATGCCTTAGTCTTTCCCTTTGCAGAGCCCACTGCCCAGCATGCTGAATGGCATCCGGGTTGTATATGTGAGGTTTGGAGGAGAGAAGGGGATGGACAACCCATTAGAAACAGGTAGAGCATGAACTGCGGGGTCCAAAGATAGACCAGAGTTACAAAATTAAGAAAGCTTTATTTTATTCTGTCATATATGACCCAGGTAGCAAAACATGCCAGAATTAGACTCCCCACCCCCACCCACCCCGAGTTACCACTTAACTTGCTGTTAATCTGTGTTCAAGAGTAGAGGGTCTTGATGCAAATATTTTTACTTGAAAGAATAGGGAAGCCCACTAATTAATTAGTGTATTGCATATAGGCCGTGAAGGATTCAACTGTTTGAAGTATTAAAAAGTAACCTCTGTTCAGGACTGGGTGGCTCAGTCCATTAAGCATCCTGCTCTCGATTTCAGCTCGGTTATGACCTCACAGTGCGTGAGTTTGAGCCCTGAGTTAGGTTCTGACAGCGAGGTAGCCTGCTTGGGATTCTCTCTCTCCCTCTCTCTCTGCCCCTCCCCCGCTCACCCATGGTCTCTCTCTCTCTCTCTCAAAATAAATAAATAGACATAAAAAAAAGTAACCACTGTTCAGATACCTAAGGCCATGTAGTACATCTGTTATTTGTATGTTCTCCTTACTTTCATTTGACATTGACAATAAATTCAAACATTTTCTGGGAGCATGAAGGGAATAGTTTTGCCTTTTTAACTAAGGAGTAAGGGGGCAAATTGTTTAAGTGCTCCAGACACCAGTTTTCTTGGCTCTAAGATCACACATTGGCTTAAATGATCCCAAAGGTCCCAGCAAGCTCTTAACTCCTGTAAATCTATGTGGTTTTTTCCTAATGTTAATATGTAGATTTTTCCTTCTTTTTCATATTCTCTAAATTTTCTCAAATGTGCAATGTTTTGCTTTTTAATATAAAAGAAATCTTTAGGGGCGCCTGGGTGGCTCAGTCGGTTAAGTGTTAGACTTCAGCTCGGGTCATGATCTCACTGCCCAAGAGTTTGAGCCCCGCGTCGGGCTCTGTGCTGACAGCTCAGAGTCTGGAGCCTGTTTTGGATTCTGTGTCTCCCCCTCTCTCTGCCCCTCCCATGCTCATGCTCATGCTCTGTCTCTCAATAATAAATAAATGTTAAAAAAAATTTTTTTAAAGAAATCTTTAAAAGGAAAAAGAACAAATTGAAACATTTTGCCTTCACTCAGAACCTGGGATTCTGTGCAGAAAAAGCATTTCCATGCTGAAAAATGGACTTTACCTCTTTTGTGATATGTTATCAATAACAAAAAGAGTGTGTGGTGTTGAACCTGATCCTGTGTTTTGTATTTTCAGCTGCAGTACCTACCCCAGCTGACTAGCAGCAGCTTCCTTCCAGCTTTGGATAATAAGAAGTACTACTGTAACTTGAAGAAACTCAACTCCCGTTTTCCAAACATTTAAGGAGCTTGAAGATGAATGATGACAAAGGAACCGAACTTACAAACTTGCTTGAAAATAATCATAATGCTTTAAGAACATCAGGAGAAAACCTAAGTAATAGCCTGGGGGAGGCCAGCTGGCAGAATCGGAAGGGGAATTAGGGAGGCAGCCTTCTTCCATGCTTCCTGATGGTGACTAGAACAGAAAGGAAAAAACTTGTTTGGATTTTCACTTGCATTTTTGTTGTATCTAAGTAGCTGAGTTTATTGACAGAAATACAAATTGTAGCTACTGCTCATACATCTGGCAAGATTAGAGATGTGATAAAGATTTATGCTTCAACTGTACTATATGCAGCAAGAAAAATGGATTACAAAACACCCATAGTACTTCTTGCATCTCTTTCACATGGAGTCCTATCCCCTGCCTTTTAGTTCCTGAAATCAAAATGTTTAAAATCCCATTTCCTGCTTGCTCTATTTCTTGATTTTCCTATTTTAAAACGTTTTTGGAATATTGAAGAGTTGCTTAATATTTTTAAAAATCATGGATTATCATAAAATTACAAATTTAATGATATTTCTAGACATTTCTTACATATGCTTTGGTCTTTACCTTTAGTAATGGATGCATCTTAGTCATTTTTGCAGGCAAGATGGGTTTATATAACCCATCCACAGGTTACCCAATTCCCCATGCAAACAGTGGTGTGAAGGCTGGCGGCAGACCAAGGCGATCAAGAGGTAGAACGAGCCCTGCAGGCTTCCTGGGAACTGAGCCTCTCAGCCAGAGAGTAATTATTCTTCATTCTCTCCAGCTCAGCCTCAGACTTGGAGACAGATCTATGGGCAGGACTATCTACAGTAATCTGGGATTTGGAAGAAATTGCTTGAGTTTTTACTTGGATCATGAAAGACGTGAGGTTGTAAACTCCTATTTTTCCTGAAATACTTTTTTATGCTATCTGTATGTATATGTGTATACATATGCATATGTGTCTGTACACATATAAGTGTGTGTATACATATACTATGCTAAGAACTGATAAAAATAATAACAGAGTAGTCCAAATTGATACTGAAGATTCCTAGCTTTGTATTGTGAGACTTGAAATGATGACCTATAATTAGCTTTGACGCGGGCTACCACTCTTCAAAAAGCTTCATCACTCCTGTCCCCTGAACACAGGGTAAAATGAAGCTCACGTCTGTTTCTTATAGCTGACTGCCAGTTTTGGCTGATGGGCTGCTGCTGTGTCCTAGTCATTCTCAGCCATAGTTTTAGATGTTGTATTTTACGGTATCTTCAGAACATTTCTTCTGTACTCTTACTAGTTTACTGCTATAGTAACTTCCTTCATGACAGCATATGACTTTATTCTTTACTGCTAAGTAACTCACCAAATTTAGGCATCTGTTCAATAATTTTGGCCACTCCAGCCAGGTTAATGATATTCTAAGGCTTCCTGATGTATGTGGCTTCTTGCAAGGAGCTGACAGTGGGTTAAATACTAGTCTCGGCATTATCTGATTCTTCTTATGTGGCTTTGATTCAAATGGCAAGGAAGGACAGCCCACTTCTGTGAAGAGTTTACATTTTGTGTTTTTCTTTTTAACCCAAAACAATGTACTTGACGAGGCAGATGATTATAACTGCCTAATTTATCCAATAGTTTTATAGAAAACCATTTAGAATACAAAAGTAGTTGCAGACTAAATTGTGGTGAATCAGTTGCCTCACCACACAGTAAGCAAACAAATCTGAGATGGAAGCATTCGTTTTTTTCTAATGAGTTCTAAATGTGCACTAATGCTTAATTCAACCATATCTGTAATCATTCATTCAGCATGGAGTCACTATTGTTTCACATAAGACTGTTTTACAACCTAGTCTTTTTAATTTGTTATTTTCTGATTTTGTAAATGACAGTGGCAATTATTCGTAAATAGTATGTCATTTGTGGTATGTGCTATTTACATAAGCTGGTTTCTAAACACAATTAAAATCCACTTTTTCTACCCCAATGCTGCATCATACAGTGTTTATTTTAAAATTATCTCCAGCTAAGGTTCTATTCAAGACCGTATAGTTTATGTTCAAGAACCAGACATACAGAAATCTACAGACAAGTTGGCCTATAATTAACAATAATAGAACCAGGGCCATTTCAAGCAGGTAAAATTAAAGATCTGTTTTTACCTATTTGTGATATTCTTTATCACTGCTTTCTAGATATAAATTGAATTTTGTGTTTATACTTCTTTTTGATGTCCCTTGAAGTCATAGGAAGCAGTACCCAACATATATGGGGAAATTTAAATTAGTTTCTAGCTGGCATGTCAAAATTTTTGGTTTAAAGCAGTATGTTAATTTAAGCAAAAAGTATGGTCTTCATGATTATTTCCTTTGTTCTACTGCAGTTGCAAAACTATTTGAATTCAGCCAAATATTTATGTCTAGTTTTAATAAAACACCCGACTAAGCTTACAAAATAGACAAATTAGCCAGAAACTATTCATTCAGAGAAAGGTGTAGGTTATAAAGAACAAAGGAATGTAGGGTCATGAGAAATGAATGCAAATCCTGGGAAGCAATATGGATGCCTCAACAACCAATGACTGCCTTTCATAATTCATCAATGAATCTGAAACTTAGCTTTCAGTTTTTCATAACTATACATTTATAGTAACATGCTTCAATAGCTTTAAAGTAAAATGTAACATTAACATAAATTACTGATAAAATACAATAAAGAATATCTGTGTTGCACATTTAAATCACTTTAAAGAACTCTGTCAGTATCTACATACTGTACAGATTTCTATATAAAATGAGGAACATATTAGAATTAAACTGCTACCTTGTTTCCATTTTTCCTAAAAGGATTTAATGTACATATATTTTTACTTCCAACTTAGTAACTTCAGTGAGTCATGTCTGAATATTTTCTACATGATGGGCTCTGCTTCTGAAATGTCATGACTGAATATCCTTAGGGTCTGTTGATTATTATATAATATTTATGATGTTTAGGATCAACAATTTCAAATGATACTTTATATTGAAATACGATACTTCTTAAATATGATTATTTTACTTCAAGTCTAATTTTAGTTCCAGAGAAGGCAGTGCTGTCTTAAAGGCTCGGGTAAGGTTTTCTTTTTCTCTTACTCCAGGAAGATCACTTAACAATAAATATTTCAGGTTTCTGCAAAAAGAGAAGGAAAAAAAAGCTACTTTGGTTTTGCCTTTACTCTTATAGCATGAACAATAAACTGTATTCACTGGCCTAAAAAACATTGCACATAGAATGTGTTTATATTACACTATACTTTCAAAATGACTTTTAGAACAGTAGTGTTAAGAGTGCTATTTTAAATGAAATTCATTCTAGGAGCTAAGCCAGACTTTGGAAAGTTGAGTTGTTCTGAATTATATCAGTAATTCTAGCTGAATCTTTCCAAATACAGTATATGTATTATGCCATAGAACTCCTTTGCATGTGAAACACTAAATATGAATCTTAATCCAGACAAGAAAAAAAAATGGGAAAGTTCTTAAAAGAACTTCATTAAAAGATGAAGCTTCAAACCTTCAACTAATATAAGAGACAGTCTACTACTTTTGGTTCTGATGCTTAAAATTTCTCTACTAAAAAAAAAAAATAAACTTAAAAGTGGGGGTGGGGGAACCTAGCTGACTCAGTCAGTAGAGCGTTGAGACTCTTGATCTTGGGGTCGTGGGTCTGAGCCTCAGGGTGGGTACAGAGATTACTAAAAAAAATTAACTTAAAATTTCTCAAACTTTCTGTGATACTGAGGTTATTGTCAGAACATCAGGAAAAATTCTTCGAAAGATGGACAGGAAGGATAATGGCAAATGCCCATTGATGGCCTATTGTAGCAGTCACCATGCTAGATGCTTGATGTACATTTACTTTTTAAAGAAGATGCCCCCTTAAAAATGCAATAAAACAATGTATTAAGGT